AAAGATAATTTAATGAAAGATATATTTATGGTAATAAATATGAATTAGGAATATATATAGTATAATATATAAAATTATAAATATATGAATAAAATTATAAATATATAAATAAAATTATAAATATATGAATAAAATAATAAATATATAAACAAAATAATAAATATAGAAATAAAATAATAAATATAGAAATAAAACAAGAAAAATATAAATATATACTATATAAAAATAAAATAATATATAAAATAAAATACATGAAATGATATCTAATATATTAATATATTCAAAGGGATCACTGAGAGCTGTTAAATGAAAAGCCTCAGGGAATGTTTGGGAGGGGGATTTTTGGGATTTGGGGGATTTTTGGGATTTGGGGATTTTGGTGCTAACAGGGCTGGTTTGGGTTGCAGGCACAGCAGCCGTGAGGAGAAGAGCAGAGCCAGGAACCCTTCCCCCAAAAAAAGCTTCAGGCGCCAGCAGCCCTCAGGTTACACCAGGTGAGTGTCCTGGGCACACCTGGGCACACCTGGGGACACCTGAGCACACCTGGGGACACCTGGGGGCACACCTGGGGACACCTGGGCACACCTGGGGACACACCTGGGGACAGCTGGGCACACCTGGGGACACCTGAGCACACCTGGGGACACACCTGGGGGCACACCTAGGGACACCTGGGCACACCTGCGGACACACCTGGGGGCACACCTGGGGATACCTGGGCACAGCTGAGGACACCTGAGCACACCTGGGCCACAGCTGGGCACACCTGGGGACACGCCTGGGGACACCTGGGGACACGCCTGGGCACACCTGCGGACCCACCTGGGGACACAGCTGGGCACACCTGGGGACACACTGGGCACACCTGAGCACACCTGAGGACACCTGGGGACACACCTGGGGACACCTGGGCACACCTGGGGACACTTGAGCACACCTGGGGACACCTGAGCACACCTGGGCACACCTGGGGACCAGGATTTCCTCTGCTGATGGGAGTGGGATGGGTGGAACAGCCAGAAAAATCCCATAGAAAATCCTATAGAAAAAAAAATCTCACAAAAAATCTCACAGAAAATGCCACAGAAAAAAAAAAACCCACAGAAAATCTCATGGAAAATCCCATAGAAAAAAAATCTCACGGAAAAATCTCACAAAAAAAAAATCTCACAGAAAATCCCATAGGAAAATCCCATAGAAAAATCTCACAGAAAATCCCATAGAAAAAAATCTCACAGAAAATGCCACAGAAAATCCCATGGAAAATCCCACACAAGATCCCACAAAAAATCCCGCAGAAAAATCTCACAGAAGATCCCACAGAAACTCCTATAGAAAATCCCATAGAAAAATGCCAGAGAAAATCCCACAGAAAAAATCCCCCCCCCCAAAACAATTTAATTTTTCCTGATTTTTCCATCAGTCAAAAGG